CCAACAAGAGGGTGACTTTGTCTCTCTGCCAAAAGGCCAAATCGAGACCATCAATGAAAACAAACAAAAACAAAGTGCTCCACGAGAAAAATGACCCAGACAAATAAGAATTTTCCATAGGTGGCAATGAACTCGCAGAATATTGGGTAAAATATTGATGATAATCTAGACTAATCTATAAAGGTGTCCCAAAAAAAATGGGAAGAAGACAAAGTCACCATAAAAAATTATACATAAATTCTGAAATAACAAAAACATCAAAATCTACGTTTTTTCAACGTTTATTATTAACTATCCGTTTGATTCCTTTTGATATACTTTTTTTGCAACATTAGTAGGCTTGAATATCTTCTGGATAACCTCTTCCCCATGCCTTTTTATATTTTATATCAATGTCAGGGTCACCACATCCATTATCACATGTAAAATATATTGTATATTGTCCTTTCATCGATTCGTACTCATTACGTAAGTGGTTAGCTCATGACACGCGCCTCACAGTAAGTAATATGCCTCTTTTCCACCTCCCATATCCCCATTTTCCATTTCTATCAATGTCAGGGTCACCACCACAGAGATACATCCAACACACACACACACAAAAAACAGAGAGAAACACAAACTCATTCGCTGATGATGTAGCCAATTGGCAGAACGATTGCCTGCATTTTTCATTTGGCCAATAATCACAACATTTACCAACACCATAACTAACATGCAACCTCCGACGATGAGATGAGATGCTGTCTCTCGAGGAGCAGAGCACCTGCTCGATTTCTTTCCGCCGTAAATTCTCATTTACACACTACCGTCGTCTTCCGGAATCCGGAATCATCCGCCCCCGAGTCCCACCATCTATTCAAGCCCTACCCTCCGTGTTATATGGCCAGTCATTTAATCAATTATGCAAAAAACGATGTCGACGTCGACAGCGACGATGTATCGTAAAATGTTTGCCACGGTTACGGTTCTGCCTTTTCCCTGAATCCTTCGTATTCGTACTCGTACTCGTATTCCTATCCGTGTCTGTCTATATATCCCCGTGAACCTGCCGGCACGTTTACCTTTTCATGTATAAATAATTAATTAAATGTACAGCAGTTTTTGGAAAACTGGCTTCGCTTTGCCCGCGGCAAGAGAGCCTAGTAGAGGGGCTTTTCCGGGGGGCCAGTTGGAAAATAGAGGGCGTTTGGGCATGTGTGCGACCGGCAATCGCAGTTAGGCGCTCTAAGGACTCATTGAGGCATTTAGCAAACCACTTCGATTAAGGGCAATGCCAATGAATGACTGATTACGACGGGGCAGAAACGATTTTAAGACACTAGTTCGATGAGTAGTTAACATCCACTTACTAACAATTGGAAATAAGCCCGAGTTTCTAAAAATAAACAGAGACAAATATAGAAAAATAATTATTAGCCTTACTATGTTTACCTATTTTTACTCTTATCTTTGAAGATTTTAAACAATATTTTTTTTCCATAATATACTAGATTTTCTAGTATTTTTTTTAATAAGACTTTCAAATTTACTAATAGATAGCTTTAAGTCCGCGCTTATGGGTTTCAAGCCCACAGAAATCCAACTAGAATAAGACTGCAAAAACACAGCCCTGTTTTCTCGGTTCCCCAACGATATCTACGGATATATCCCCACTGCGAGCTCCCCGAAGCTCCCTGCAAATTGCTCCAAACTCGAGAGTTTCGTGCCGCGAAGCACTTGAGGCCAAGCTAGGATAGGATAGGATATACCTACCCTACCCTATATATGGAGGGACAGAGGGACTGGGGCTGACTGTTGTTGACCAAAATTGGCCAAGTGAGGCAACATCACGTAGCCGCCCCGTTTGCCAAGCGAGCTTGAGAGGTAGTCGCAATCGCATTTTGCCAGCACACGGAGAAAAATTAGGTTTATTTGATTAAGTACCTTAAATTTTGGATAAACAAACCAAAAAAATAAATATTTTGTTTTTTGACAAAATAAAAAATAATCTCTGGAGACCATCATTTTATGAGCATTATTTTATTGAATTAAAAAAAATAATTTTGATTTCTTGCTGTGCAAAAAAACAGCGACAGTCTCGTTTCGGTTTCGCTGGCTAGCTATTTTTGTGTGGGCGGACTGCAGGCGGGCGTGGCAAATCTGTGCACACAATGGGCGCAGGGGGGTGGTGTCCCCGGCATAGCCCCAAAATAATCTACGGCAATTGCATATGGCAGGCAATAAACTTGGTCAAGTCTAAAAACAACCACTGAACGACTGCCAACTGCGGTCGTAGGTGGTTTCGGGTCTGGGTTGTTTTTCTTTTTTCTTCTGTTTTCGGGTGGTGCAGCGGTCGTGTTTTGCAGTGCTGGGGAAAATGGGGAAAAAGTGCTCTTGACATGTTTTTATTAAAGTTTCCTACGTTTCCGGCCACGTCTGGAGAGGCAAAGAGAAGGAAGAGCAAGGAGCAAGGAAAATTGCAGCACAAAACAAAAATAAAATCGTCTCGAGCTATTCATAATTCGAAAGTTCCTGATACCCTTCTTGTAACCATATGTTAGAAACTTTTGAACAATCATTAGCTTGCTTGAAAGTTTAAAACATTTTGGAAAAGGTTTTTTTCTGTCCGCTCAAGAGAGCGTCCGTAAAAAAAAGAAAAAATCTAGTTAAATCCAAAGTTAATATATATAAATAAAATCTTTCTGATGACTATTCTTAACCAGATCAAGATCCTAAATAAAGAATATAAGTTCTTATATTTTAAGTAAAGAGTATTCACTTTTCTGTAAGCACTATTTTCCGCCTTTCTTCTTAGTTTTTGGTTTAGGTTGTTTTTAGGATTTTTTTCCGTTGGTATCCAAGTTATGTTTATGTTGCGTGCGTGCTTAGTTCATGGAATTGCAATTTGAGGTTTGCATTCAGCAGCAGTGGCTTCCAAAAAAAATTGCACTTTATTCGCACCGAGTTTTGGGAACAAGTGCATGCGGTTTTACTGTCGAATTTCCAAGCACCTTTGAGAGTGCAGGAAAATTTGACCCATATCGTGAGAAAACTGCCAAGATTTGCACACTTCCATTCACGAAAAACACAATGGAAAACAAAACCAATTATTCGCTGCAAATTTCCAATTTTGAATTTGGCCTTTTCCTGGCAACAGCTTCAAATTGGGACCGAGAAATAGGAAAATGCTGAAGAAAGTGTTGAAGTGTTTTTCCAGGGAGCCAGGAACAAAGCGAGCAACTTGAACAAGAACAGAAACAAAAATAAAACAAAACAAGACCGAAATGAAAACTTGGTGACAAAAACAGCAGCGAAAGGGGGTGGGGAAGTGGGCTAATGTAGGGACATTGTAGGTGAAGACGGCAGGAAAACCGACACAGTCACGTATCCACGTGTTGGCAGGACCCATGGAAAAGTGGGGGCGGAAAAGCGGGTGGGAAAGCCCACTGGAGGCGCCAACGGTAAATGCACTTTGAATGGCGAAGTTTACCTGTCACTGGAGACAAGGAAAATGCAAGAAAACGAGTCCGAATGCAATGGAGGATGTCCAATGAGAGGCAAGGACACTCGAGCAAAAATATTATACAAAACTATAAGATTGAAATTGAAGGTTTTGCAATAAAATTACAAAATTTACCGAAGAAATTAAGACAAAAATCACATATTATTGAATCATCTTGATAAAATATCGCAAAAATGCGAATCAAATTGGCTGAGAATATCAGAATTTCGGAATTCCAGGCACTCTGTATATCGGGATTCCTAAATCCTAACCTACCCCATTGAAAGCAGGAAAAACTACAAAGGGTTTTTGGGGACCCCGGGAATGTAGCACCAAATTAACATAAATTCCGTAAGGGAAAAAACAAAAGGTACAAAAAATTGCTACTTACACAACTCATGAGGTTATAAGAAGTGGAAAGTGGGAAATGGGAGCTTTGGGTGGGTAAATAGAAAATAGCAGGGGGCACAAACTAGAAGCCGAAGATTGTTGCAAAAAGTTCAACGACAGCAGACAGACGCAAAAGGAAAGCGACAAACAAATAAAACAAGAAGGACAACGAGTGGGTGGCGGTAGTGGGTGGCGGTAGTGGGTGGTGGTGGGGCCGGAAAAGGGGGCGTGGGCGGGAACGGTGCCAAGGGTGCGGATGGCTCCTTTTTGCAAAACAGTCCGTTGTTTCCTATGTCTACAGTGTCGCTTTCCCAACAATTCCCACAAGAAAAATCAATGGAATTGTTTGGTATATTGCGCCATGTTTGACTCGCCGCCCACCGCCCACAATGTCAACCGCCCTGCAAGACCACCCACCACCCACACACTTGCGGTCAAAGTAATAGCACTGACAATTGAAGATGTGAAGTGATAACTGTGTCATACAAATATTTAAGTTAACAAATCGATACCAAAGTATTTCAGAGTAAATAAATGCCATTAATTACGAATTAAACAGAAACTAAGAACATTTATATTAACCGTTCGAGGATAAGTAACAAACAAAAAATAGTATCTATAATTTCTGCCTTGACTGTATCTTGAGATCATTTTTTACAAGATCAAGAGATTGCCATTATAAAAATGTATTAAATGCTGTAAAATAAACTTTTAATTTGGTTAATGTTTCAAAGCATGGAATAAATTATTGAAATAATAAAAATCCAGAATGGAACCTTTCTTGAGTAACAATAATTGTAAAAACAATGAAAACTAAATGACTTTAACCAGCGCAGGAGATCCTATTAATTTAGCCTTTGCTGTGCCGCCTTTTCTTATTCTTGATTTGTATTCTCGCTAATGCATGTTCGTTTGATATTTTTTTGTTTTCCTCTGCTTTTTCGTTTGTTTATGTCTATGTTTTGGCAAATGAGGCGACGACAAATCAAGTGATTTTTTTGTTTTTACCTCTATTTGCTTGCTACCGTTGACATACTTATTGAAATCACTGTATGTTTGTGTGATCAAGGATCTGGTGGAAAAGCACAAGCAAACACAAAAAACGGTAAAGTAAAGTAAAGCTCACCTGTCTCGCTCTAACAGCTGCTAGTTGTTGTTGTTGCTGCCGCTGCTGCTGGTTTTCCCTCCTTCAACAGCTTCATCATCATCGTCTCGCTTTCCATCATCATCGCGAATGTGAATTTTCCGCATGGGAATTTTCCTCTGCCGCGGCCGCCGTCGACGTCGACTGCACACGTGACTGCGCAAACTCTTCTTCTTCCTCTTTGTGCCTCTCCTTCTTGGCTTTGTTGTCGTTGTTGTTGTTCTTGCTGTTTAAACGGTAAATGCTTTTTACTTTTTGTTTTTTTCTCTCCGCTCTCTGCTTGTTTTTATTTTTGTTTTATCGCCGCCGCATTGTAATTGTATTAATTTTGCATTTTCGGGCCGAGAAAAAAGGAAACGAACAGCTGTTTCCACGCTGCTTTATTGTTGTTTTGCCTTCTGGCTGCTTTCGCGCACTTGTTGTTGTTGGGATAGGCTTAGCTTTCTTTGGCTTTGGTTCCTCGCTTTTCGTTTTGGCCTGGCAAACACACGCACTGCCGCAGACACACGCTAAAAACAGTTAAAAAAAAACAGAACAACGCGACGCACAACAACAATTATTAGTTAGTAACAATCCAAAGACGAATTTCGCGAAAAACCAAGAGACACGAAAACACGAACTTAACTTGGCGATGGAAAAAATACACTGTTACTGAGTAATGTTGCGAACCTGCTCTCTTGCTAACAGCGCCCGAGTGCTGTTCCGGTAACATACGCCGAGAGCGCTGTTAGAAGCGGTTAACATGAGAGAGAGCAGCTGTTAACTCAACAGTTGTCCGCCGTGCTGTTAGCTTTGCAGACAAGTGCTGTTAATGTTCAGCTTGAATAATACTATTACAAATACTATGCCATATTTGGATTAATTATTTAGCTACTCACCCGCATTTATACCCTTTATTTGTAGGGATTCGAGTAGATTTATCGAAGTTCGTATGTTGGTAATGTTTCTCATTGATTGGTGTCGATCCTTGTACAGCTTTCCATATTTCCTGATTCGATTTATGATAAAGCTGTTCCAATTCGCTTTGATATCGAAGATTTCCATATTTCCTGATACGAATTTTTGAAGAGGGGTTCCAATTCGCATCAAGTACTTTGCATGTAATACTTAGTGGCAGAAGACAAAACCTGTAGCTCTCAGTGAACGATGGAATTTTAGAAAAATAATTATTAGATAATGGTTTAAATAATTACAAAAGTTATTCACATAAATTCAGTATTTTAATATTAAAATATCATTAAGTTGGGCAGCCACAACTTAAATTTGCTTCAAAAATTTTAAAAATGTAATATATAATATAAGTTCAAAATAATATAATATAATTTCATATATGTATGTATATATAAGTCAATCTTTGGATAATTTTTTTAGCACTCACCCGCATTTATACCTCTTTATTTGTAGGGATCCGGGTATATAGTTTATTATTGATTGAGATCGATCCTTGCAAAGCTTTCCATATTTCCTGATTCGGTTTATAATACAGGGGATCCAATTCGCTTCCATTATTTTGAGATGCTGGGATTGTTCATCGTTGATCGAAGATTTCCATATTTCCTGATACGATTTTTTGATACAGGGGTTCCAATTCGCATCAAGTATTTTGCATGTAATACTTAGTGGCAGAAGACAAAACCTGTAGCTCTCAGTGAACGATGGAATTTTAGAAAAATAAATATTAGATAATGGTTTAAAATAATTACAAAAGTTATACACATAAAATAAAATTAACAAACATACATATCAACAAATTGGGCAGTTACAACTTAAATTAGCTACAAAATATGATATATAATATAATTTCAAAGTAATATAATTTCAAATATTATATAGTTTTATATATGATATAATTTCATATATAATATAATTTCATATATAAGCCAATCTTTGGATAATTTATTTAGCACTCACCCGCATTTATACACTTTATTTGTAAGGATCGGAGTATATTTATCGATGTTCGTCTGTTGATATTGTTTCTCAGTGATTGAAATTGATCCTTGCGAAGCTACATATATATATATCCTGATTTGGTTTATGATACAGCGGTTCCTATTTTGCAATACTGGGATTGTTCATCGTTTATTGTTGACCAAGATCGAAGGGGATCCAATTCGCTTCAATTATTTGGCATGTAATAGAGATTGAAGACAAAACCTATAGCACTCAGTGAACGATGGAATTTAAGAAAAATAATTATTAGATAATGGATTTAAATAATTAAAAATATTCACATAAATTCTGTACACAAAAACCAAATACGAATTACCTTTAGAAGGACTATTTCAGTATCTAAATAATTAAAATTAAAAATATATATTAATTAAAAACAAAGGTTACTACTTAAAATACCAATTTAAATTTAAAAAATTTCATTTCATAATATAAATGTTTAATATAATTTAAATACTTTAATATATAATTTAATAGCTTCTCACCTGAACTTTTTACCCATTACTCATACGGATCCGAGTTTGGATTGCTCCTTGTTGATACAGATCGGTCCTTGCGAAGCTTTCCATGTTTCCCGATTCGGATTTATGATATAGCCGTTCCAATTCGCTGCAAGTATTTCGCCTGTATCCAATTCGCTGCAAGTATTTCGCATGTTTCCAATTCGCTTCAGTTACTTTGCATGTAAACCTGGAGCACCCCCTACATATGTACATATGTACGTCATTATATGTATACATATGTATGTATGTACTTTCACATTAAGCTTGATATATTTATGAACGTCATTATATACATATACATATGTATGTACTTCCACATTCACATAGCTGATCGTGATCCTTCCACTTGCGCACATCAAAGATGGCTAACAATACATACTTATGTATGTACCGCAGTCCCACAGACAGCGTAAATTTAAGCAAAACTTAATAAGATCACAAGATGTATATGTATGTACATAGTTATGCACCTACGCTTACCTTTACATATGTACATATGTATGTACGATCTTGCCGGTGTCTCAATCGGGGTCTTCGCGTTCCCAAGGCCAACAAACACTGATCACAATATGCAAATATAGAATTTCGATGCCGCCGATCCTCTGACCGATGCACTAATAGCTTGTAACTGCTCTCCATTATCCTATTTATTCCAATTCGCCAATTACGCCGGGCTTTTCACTCTTTTTCACTCCGCTTGTTGATTGGTTGCTTTGCCAAAAGACGCGATAAATTATCGATTGTTGCGGCGCTGCCAACTTGCGATTTCTAACTTGTAAAGGGATGTTTCCACTATGCCTATTTTTCGATATACTGTCCGATAGGCAACCGTTATGTGTTTCCACTGGCAAAAGCGAGCTTAATAAAACAAAAGATTTAAATATTTGATTATAATCAATAATTTTTGATAATTGTACAGCGTAACTTTTAGCTTCTTCCTATGAAAAGCGAGCATTCCCCTGGCAAACTCTGGTAGGCTTTTCCTGAAAGGCGGTCCCCAAAAGAGGCGTGCCAGCCCCAACTCACCTCACTTCTTTACTTCATATCCTTTCTCTCTCTCTTTCAGAGCAATTAACGGGATTCCAATGTGTCTGGCCGTCTGCAGAGTGCAGACTGTGACGGGAAATTTCAAAAATTTCAATTCACAAAAATTCACAGGAATGCGCTTGGCTCCTCACACATGTGTATTTGAGTTTGTGCCCTTCTAGCCGAGTGTTTTTCGTGTCCAGTCGGTTCAGGTCCAGGACCAGTCCATCCAAAAGTCAGACCAAAGCCATCCACTTGCCTTTCCCCATTTCCCCATTTTCCACCTGTCTTTCAGTCTGCGTGCCCGGCAGCAGGTGCAAATGCTGCTGCAATCAAAGAGCCATCGAGCCAAGGTAAACCGGACGGACCACTTTAAGGATTTCAACGAACGGAAATGGGTTCAGGTGGCGTGGAAATCGAAAAGCGAGCAAACCGTACAGTACGACACTAAAATAATTAAAAAATTGCCACTGGGTAACACTGGTTTCAAATTACCCAATACTAAAAGTCGCTTTTCAACACACTCAGTATTTATTTATAAAAAAAGTCATTAAAAATATACATTTAAATTAGTTTAGCTAACCATTAACCAAAAAAACAAAAAAACGCCGTGAATTTATTCAGAAAATTCCCAAAATTAAATGAGGGGTATTCCAGAGTTAGGAGCCACTGAGACCAATAAGTTGACTCCTGGCGATGGTAGACTCCACCCTCTTTTTGGGCATGCAGGAGGAGCAGGAGCAGAAAATGCAGTCGCAGTTGATGGCCATCAAGTGGACCATGGCAAAAGTGATTACACGTGCTCATAAACAACAAAGCAACCCCCTGGGCTGTTAAAGTCAGGCAAACGCAAACAGGAGACAAAACATGGCATCAGGACATCAGCATCACAGGATGCCCGCTTGAGATGGAGCTGAAGCCAGTTTTTGTCATCATCATCATCATGATCAGCTGTGATTGGGTGTGTGTTCGGCGTGCTCTGGTTAATTTATGGCCCGGTCTTCAGTTTTAATTTGGTCCAAAAGCTTGAGCTTTGCACTTGAATAAATAGTGTAAGTGATGGGTTTTATTTTTAAAGATTTTCTTCCTCTGATGCATCTTTAATCGAGTTCACAGTGTAATCGATATCAGATGTCTTATCGATGCATAAATCATAGAACTCAGTTCGTTACATCTGGCGCCCAACGTGGGACATTTTATATTAAAAAATTTTTTTTTTCAGTGTACAGGTTGACTGCTTAAGATAGTCACAAGTTCAACTATTATAGTGGGGCGAAAATGGAGGGGAAAATGCTGAGCTGAGGACACGACAGCGACAAAGTCAATAAATTCTGTGGCACTGGATTGGCCCCCAAGGGGCCTGAACGAGGTAGCTGGGTACGGGATGCTGGGATACTCGGATCCTGGCCAAAGAACTGGCTTGAGCTGAGCTGCACTTACTTAGCCAGGCTATCTGCAGCTGCACCTGGACGAGCTCCTTCTCGCAGCCCCGTCCCAGGTGTCTATTTTAGCTGCTTTTAACTTGCTTATGGTCTTGGCAATGTCTTGCCAGCTTTTAGGGATAATAACAGCCGAGAGCAGGACCTAAATAAGAAGATAAAATGGGGGAATATACACGGGGCCGGTTTCGCTGTGTGCTGTACACTGATTTCAGCAATTAGATCTTGGCATTAGCCACTTCCTGGCGGCCATTAAATCCACACGAGAGTTACGAGTTACGAGTTAGGAGCTTGTTGCCAACATTATGAGCCAACTCAGCTAAATCCACGGGGGCACTCCACATGCCAAGGACCAAGCACCAAGGACCGGGAATAAATGTGATCACGCAAAGCGTATAAACGGGAGCAGATGGGCCAGATGGGGCAACGGCAGCGCAACTATAAAGCATATAGGACGTGCAAAGTGATAATCATGCGAATACAACGGGGGCGACGCATCTTACAAGGCCAAAACGAGCCCATAAATACACTAAGGTGCAGGAAAACGTACTTATAAGAAAGAAAACTCGAAATCTCTAGGGTTGTTGACTATTCACTTATTAGTGTGACCAAAGTTTTGCAGAAAAATATTTCATAGTGATTCAAAATATTTCCTAGCCTACTTTTTGGTTTTTTTTTCAACCGATTTTAATATTCTAGGTGTATTTAAAATAT